GGCCCCCCGGCCCCTGCCAGCCCTTCCCCGCCGGCGGGAGAGCCGCTGGTACGCGCGGGGACACGGCTGGGGACGGTGCCGGACGGGGGGGGACACGGGGGACAGGGGGGGACACACATGGGGACACACCTAGGACACAGCTGGGGTCGCACCTGGGATGGGGAAGGCACACCGGGGACACACCTGGGGTGGTGGGGACATTGCGGGGCAACTGGGGACAGTGGGGGGACGTGGGGACAGGAGGTGACAAAGGGATACCGGGGTGGGGGAGGAGGGGCTGACCCCTGGGGGGTGACACAGAGGGGAGTGACATTGTGGGGGTGACACTGGGGTGACCCCGGGTGGGCAGGGGGTGACACAGTGGGGGTGACACAGTGGGGGTGACCCCTGGCTGTCCCCTGACGCCCCTCTCCCCCTCCCCTCGCAGAGCTGCCCGGGGGTCCCCGCCTGGGCCGCTCCGCCTCCACCTCGGGGGTCCGCCAGGCCGGGGCCCCCCCGTTGCCGCGGGGCCCCCCCTCGTCGCGGCCGCTGTCCGGGGGGCTGCCCGGCCCGGGGGGCTTGGGGGGCTTCCCCGCCGCCCCCCGGCCGCGGGACGGGCAGCTGCAGGAGGTGATCGAGCGCAAGCGCTGCGTCTGCACCGAGATCAAGGCGCGGGGGGGGCGGGGGGGACTAGCTTTGTATCTTGTGACTGCATGTGTCCACTCACACTGTGTGGTGCTTACATGTTGGTTTAAGAAAATGTATTAGTTAAAGTTGTTTTATGCGCTCCTAGAAATCTATTTAATAGTTACGTAGAACAGCTAATGAGGAGAGAGGGAAATATAGAAAGGATATTGCTTTCTGAAGATGACTGCTCTTCAGTTCCTGTAGCATGAATTGTAAACTGCTTCCTTAAATTCTTTTCCTTGAAAAGTGAGAAAAAAGCAGTTGTCTGCATGTCATTCACTGAAGGTCACTAGTGTGTTGATGACTGTAATAGCAGAGTTGTGTTTTTTTTGGTGACATTACACAAGTCCTTAGAATAGGAATAGTGAAGGTAATTAAAATTTTAGTCTTTACAGTGTGCTCATTAAACACGATTGATCTTAATGTTACGTTGTGCTCATCGTCCCTGATGATCAGAAAGGCTTTCATTTAGAACAGTGCAAATGCTACTTTAGTGAGCACCCCAAGTGTCCGTAGGGTGGCTTGCTCTGACCGTGGATGTTTGGCAGGGTAGCAGACAGGGGTAATTTCACTGAATATTCTGAGTTGCTTGCTATTTTGTTAGTAACAGTTAAGAGGCAAGGAAAGCCTAACACCTATTTCATCAAGAAAGAAGGAAACAAGGATTTTCTTGCCCTGGGTAAACGTGCAATCTTTGGGAGAAAAAGAAAATTCTTAGTATGTAATTTAGTCTGCAGACTGGCAGTGGGTAATTTGTTTGTTTTCTGATGCTGTTAGCTACTTAAGGCTACGCAGCTGTTTTATGTTCACGTAGAAGGATGTTACCTGCTAGCATGTTCTCTTTCTGTCCTCTTTTTCTCTCTCACTTGTGCACACTCACACAAATCTGTGCCCCTTCCCCTCCCTCCTGGAGAGCCGTCGATCAGGATATCCTCTGGGAACAGCAGCACCGTTTCCCAGTTGGAGCTGCGTGCATTTAAGCTCACTGATCTCAATGCCATGTGACTGGAAACGCAGGGAGCAGATTGCCATCCGGTGCACACTCTCCAACCCCCCAGCCCCAAAAAAAGGGGGGAAAAAAAAAAACCCCCCCAAAAAAGGAAAAAAAAAAAAAAAAAACAAACCACCCCCAAAAATTACAGGGGGGGCCCCCACTGAGGGGGTGCCGAGCCCCAAAATGGGGGAGCAGCCCCCCCTGCGAGCCGAGGGGGGGGTCCAGCCCTGCCGGGGGGCGCGCCGCCCCCCGAGAGGGGAGGGTGCTGTAACTGCTTTGCAATGTATTTATTGGGGGGGGGTATTTATGGGGGTGCATCGAGCGGGGGCCGG